GTTAATTTCTGTTCATTTGGCAATTATTAAATATTTTGTTTTATTCAAATTATTAGGGGTTTCTGGCCATTTCTCAATATGTTTTTTTTCCATTTTTCTTTAGGGGTTTCTGTTCATTTCGCATTAAGAAATTTTTTTCATTCTTATTGCTAGGAGATTCTAGTCATTCCGCTATAAGCACTTTGCTTGGTCTTGTTGTTGGGGTTCTTGGCCATTCTGAAGTAAGCACTTTGAGTTGAATCAATTGTTATTTTAATATGGTCTTATTAAATATGCAGGAACCTTAAATATCACTTAGGAATTTGGGAAAGACTTTACATTTATGCACAACAATCAAAATCATTCAAAAACTATGATAATTAAGAAGATTCTGACTTCCATACACACTCAAATAAATATTACATAAAAAATTCTGATGGTACATAAATAATATTGCAATAAAATGTTCGTGATATTTTTTTCGTGGTTAATAGTGAAAGTATTGTAGAAATCAATGACAAGCTAGATGCTAAAACGACCAAATATGATGTTAGAAAATAGGCTTTACACTCTGTGCATATTTATACCTACTTTTAATATATTTTATGATAAATAGCGAATATTCAGTTTCCTCTTTTCATCACAAATAGTCCCATCCATTGTCTGCACTTTCCTTCAAAAGTGTGGGACAAAAATATTCATATTGTTGAGCAAAAAACCGAAAATGTATTTAAATTTTGTCTTGGCTCCAAAATTAGGATTCATGTTCATAAATATTGAAAAATATCAGAAAAAAAGTGTGCTGGTGAAAAGGTTAAGCATGTAAGATCATATTGTTCACTTACCACTAGTTTGCTGGACACAATGTGTTGTAGTTGTGGTAGAACGACATGCATTGCAACAACACACACATACTGCAATACATACTCCAATTACAACAACCACCACTGACCCAACAACCAACAGTGCAATGATCCCAGCACTGAAAAATAATTTAGTTACTCATTTTTAATCATTTCTGCACCAGTCAAAATTGTAAAATTCTGTACAGGGTCCTTCAAATGTCAGCAACTTCCATGAAATTGTGTCTTCAGAATTGCCATAAAATCTTTAAATCACAAAAATTAGTAGTAGTAAAAATTACAGTATTCAAATACATAAAGGAATTATACATAATAAACAAACAGCATCTAGATACTGGATGGAGAGTTGATTAAATGCAATGGATTTTAATGTGATACACTGACACACACAATCATGAACAAATGTTGATACCTGCTTATTAATTTTAGTTAATTTAAAAGAATCTATTTAGTAATTAATTCCACTTGTCATGAATTGACATTTTTCATGTGAGCATACATACATTGATGTATTTCACTTTTTGTGTGGGAATACATGAATAGACATGCTTCATGAAAGCACACACAGAATGACATGTTTCATGTGAACATACATGAATAAACACATGTCATGTATGCTTACATTGAATGATAAATTCATGGCAAACATGAATTGACATTTTTCATGTGAGATTACACAGAATGACATGTGTCATGCAAGCATACATGAATAAACACATGTCATGCAAGCTTACATTGAATGATAAATTCATGGAAACAAACATGAATTGACATTTTTCATGTAAGATTACACAGAATGACATTAATCATGCAAGAATGCATGAATTGACATGTTTCATGTGAACAGACATGAATATACATGTGTCATGCATACATTGATGTATTTCACTTGGGCATGTTTTGTGTGGGAATACATGAATAGACATGCTTCATGAAAGCACACACAGAATGACATGTTGATGTGAACATACATGAATAAACACATGTCATGCAAGCTTACATTGAATGATAAATTCATGGAACCAAACATGAATTGATATTTTTCATGTGAGATTACACAGAATGACATGTTCATGTGAACAGACATGAATAGACATGTATGTCATGCAAGCATATATGAATAGACATGTGTCATGAAAGCATACATGAATAGACATGTGTCATGAAAGCACACACAGAATGACATGTTCATGTGAACAGACATGAATAAACATGTATGTCATGCAAGCATACATGAATAGACATGTGTCATGGAAGCATACATGAATAGACATGCTTCATGACAGCACACACAGAATGACATGTCCATGTGAACAGACATGAATAGACACATGTCATGCAAGCTTACATTGAATGATAAATTCATGGCAAACATGAATTGACATTTTTCATGTGAGATTACACAGAATGACATTATTCATGCAAAAATGCATGAATTGACATGTTTCATGTGAACAGACATGAATAGACATGTATGTCATGCAAGCATACATGAATAGATATGTGTCATGCAAGCATACATGAATAGACATGCTTCATGAAAGCACACACAGAATGACATTATTCATGCAAGAATGCATGAATTGACATGTTTCATGTGAACAGACATGAATATACATGTGTCATGCAAGCATAAATAAATAGACATGTGTCATGCAAGCATACATGTGATAAGTTCATGTAAACAAACATGAATTGACATATTTTATGTGTGATTACATGGATAGACAATTGTTTCATGTGAGAATACATGAGTTCTTGTGTGGTGGCCATGTGGGAACACATAGACTGCCCATAAACACAAGCAAGCACACATAAAAAAAACATGTTTCATGTGTGAATACATGAAATGTTTTATGTGAGCTAACATACACGAATTGCATGTATGTAAATGTTTCGAAATGGGCGTAGTGTGAGTGGTTAGTGCTAGTAGCACTAATCCGAAAAAGTACTAGATCTAGTGCTAAAATGGCACTAGATCTAGCGCTAAAATGGCACTAGATCTAGTGCTAAAATGGCACTAGATCTAGTGCTAAAATGTTCACAGTGCGAGTGGCATTGTTATCGCATTGTCAACGACGTTAAATAATAGGAGGGGCATCAACAACCACTTTCATATGCAAACTACAAACAGTATAAAACATTGACAATATACGCGAGATGTCCATAATAATACTTTCTTTATATTCTGTCGTAAATTAGCCATCCGAATATCGCCCTGGGGATTTCACGGCTGGTGGGCACTTATTTTGGGCTCAGAATTTCAAAAAATAATCATCAAATATTTTTTGGGGACTTCCATTTTCATCATTGAAGTATCTAACTACACAGACTTTCAACACCGTCAGTTGAGCCACGTACCCAAGACGAAAGAAACTATCGCAGAATTAACAATAATAATTAATAATTCTTATTGAATTAAAAAGTAGAGCGCCTGCAATTTCATTACAATATCGCCCAGTGTCATTTTTCAAATACACATTTGTTTTTATTTTATTGGTAACGAAAGTATATTCTCAACGAAGTTTCAAATAAAAACGAACACAACTGCATTGCGTAGTAGCAAATGATTATGGTTGTGCAATCCGGTCATGCTGCGTTTCACAATTGTTGAATATTATTCAGAGGTGATTATAATAATGCACAAAAAATAAATTTGTTGAATTGTTATGAAATTCAAATAAAATTCAACCTAGTTTCATCGTAAGCAAATGATTCCGATCGCATATAAACGCTCGATGCTGTAGGGTATCCGCCATGTTTCTTTTGCATGAGTTGAGCTAATAGGTCAAATCGCTAATTAACCAATCAAAATGCTGAAGGATGTCCATGTGTTCAAATCACCATAGCTCATTTAAATAGGTTGAACGCAACGCGGAAGAGATTTGCCGATGTTGTAGTATGATATTTTGGCTTTGATTTTGATGGGGAAATGGCATGATTTTTTTTTTCAAGTCAAAAAATAGTTGTTTCAAAAGATGAACTGAGCATTAGAAGAATAATTTAATATTGTTTACAGTGGTAGCAGCTCTTTGTCCAAACGAAGCTTACCCATTCACGCTTGTAACAATAAACACGCTCTTGAATAAAAATTAAATCACCGTCCGTGTTGAGGGACGGTGCTTAAATAGACTATTTTAGGCGTCGGAAAGATTGAAATGTCTAAAAACTTACGCCAAAATATTTAAAAAAAAAAAAAAACTTTAAAAACTGTCGAAAAATCGCCGCATTACAAAACTACGGTTATCACGTATGCGCACTGGGTTTGTTTAGCTGTTAAAATACGCATTTCACAAGCGGAAATTCAACAGACTAACTTGTAACTTCACAGATTTCACATGTTTTAATTATTAGCAACTGTAATAAGAACAAAATTTCGAGAGTCTAGAACAAATAATAGGACTCCTAAAAATACTATTGCTGAGAAAGTGTCTAGACATATATGGTCATGTTAAAAAATCGGCGAGGTTATATCATATTCTGCTAACTGGTTACTAGTGTATGCAATCGCAAACTATCATTGGCATCAAAGATGAGCTAGACAGTGTCCTTATCAGGATTAACTTGGGTTGAAACAAAAGCAATTAAGCCAGTTAAGAGGCCTAAATGGCCACTTGAGAGGCGTTGTCGCTTCTTCCATGGAAGGTACTAACGTTAGTACCTTCCATGCTCCTTCCTAGTACCTCCTTGCAT